ATTTTGTGGAACTTTGGATTTATAGGGAAGTGCTTATCAATTAATATTAAAAATATTTTTTCTATATTTGTGCTAACGTTTTTGCTAAAAGGGGGGTTGAACCAAATAATGTTACGTTTACGGTTCTTGGTGTGAGATAATTCTAAGTCAGGTTGGTAAAAAAGATTGTAATTAAAACCGGACTTTTTTAATGCTTCATTATACATAGGAGTGGATTTTTGAAAGATTTTCTCGCTTGATAAATGTGCTGATAATCCCCGACGGGCATTTGTTTTTAAAAGTTACGTTCTAAATGTATTTTAAATGTCTTTTAAACGTTTTTTACGTAAGAATGTTTAGAAGACGTTTAAAAGACATTTAAAATACATTTAGAACGTAACTTTTAAAACCAAATGCCCGTCGGGTCTTAATTCAATAGAATGCGGGAGTTGCTTTAAAATACTGGATGGGTGGTTTGATTCAGCATGAATGTAATTTAAAGAGTTTCCGGGTTTAGAGTAAGGTTAGTAGGTGTGGTTGTTGAGGTTTAATGAAATGTCCAGATAATTTACAATTTTTATGTTCTTTTTTTTTTTTTTTTTTTTTTTGTCTTTTATCAAAGCTTTACAAATACGTGATCATAAATATAAACTAGTTCGTTTACATTGTATAAAAAAAATACTGTACATATAATAAGAAAACTTTTTTTAATACAAATAATAATATATATAAAAAAGTAACACTGTTAAAAGACGCGGGAAACTTGCAGAAGACCATTTTGGTCTTCAAGAAACCGCTTTTAGTTGCGATATTTTATATACTTAATTTATTAAGAAATTTCAGTTTGTCAAAGTCTCATGGTGGCATAAGAGTCACACATAAAAAGCTACTAGATAATCAAAAACAAAAAACGGAAAAGAGCTGTATTTGATACACATAAATATAGTTACATGGTTTGTTATACTTAGTATATTGACATGTACGAAATATAAATAAAATCTAACATTTACTTCGCTTTAAAGTGGATTTTTTAGGGGTTTTTAGTTATTTGTTTTAATATACGTTTGTAAAATTGTTTAAGTTTAGAACAAGTTTTTTTTAAAAGTGTTTTCAGAGAATTATGGTTAAGTAGTTTTGTAATTATAGTATTTTTAGCTATTAGTTTGTTGTAGAGGTAAGGGCCGCGATACGAGATGGAGAAACGTGATAGTTTTGTTTTTTTATATGGTACTTTAAAATTTCCTATTCCTCGAGTTTCATATTTATTTCTATTGCATTTAAAAAATTCTTCTGAAAAATGTAATGGGACAAGTCCGAGTTTATATTTGAGCATGAATATCAAATTTTGGTAAATGTTAATTTTGTAGACATTTAGTGCATTTAGAAGCTTTAGCAAAGGTTCGGCATGAGTAAATTTATCTTTATTAAATACTATTCTTGCAGCATGTTTTTGTTGTCGATAAAGTGCCACTAGGTTGGATCTATGGGTACTTGCCCATGCTATATTACCATACGTATAATAGGTTTGAATGAAGGAGAAATAAAGTAGCTTTAAATTTTTTTGGGGTAGCATCGGTCTAGCTTTGTAAAGCATGCAAATGTTGTTTCTTATTTTGGTATTTAATAAGTTTATGTGAGCTTTCCATGAAATATTCTCATCGATAAGTATTCCTAAAAATTTTGTTGCTTTGGTTCTTTCGATAAATTTATTTTCTATTTTTAGAGACGGTAATGGAATTGGTATAGATTTTTTCCTTTGATTGGTGTGAAATAGAATGTAGTTGGTTTTTTCTGTACTCAATGATAATTTGTTAGATTTAAACCAAGTATTAAGTTTTTCAAGTTCAATACCTGCAGTTTCGAAGAATTCTGCGATAGAAGTAGATGAATAAAATAAGTTTGTATCATCTGCAAACATTATGGCATCAAGTTTTTTTGAGACTTTTGGAAGATCATTGATGTATAGCAAGAAGAGTAGGGGAGCTAGAATGGAACCTTGGGGAACTCCGCATTTTATTTTAAGTAATTTTGAATGGGTATTTTTATCCATAATAACACATTGCTGTCTGTTTATAAGAAAGCTCTCAAACCAATGTAAAGCAACATTTTTAATGCCATATTTTTCCATTTTTTTAAGAAGTATAGCATGATCAACAGTATCGAATGCTTTCGATAGATCAATAAAGATTCCTAGAACAAATTTGTTATTATCAAAAGAGTCATTTATTTTATTTACAAGATCTATAATCGCATGTTCGGTTGAATGTTGTTTTTGAAATCCGAATTGTTTTTTATTCAAAATATTGTTAATAGTTAGGTATTTATATAGTTTATTGTAAACTATTCGTTCTAGAAGTTTAGAAAAGACAGAAAGGATTGAGATGGGGCTGTAGTTATTAAGTGAGCATTGCTCTCCGGATTTAAATATTGGTACAACTTTTGCAATTTTTAATTTGTCTGGAACAGTTCCTGTTGTAATTGAAGATTTAAAAATTTCGAATATGGGTTTGCGTATCACCGGGAAGACACTTATTACTACGTTGCTAGAAATCTCATCAATCCCTGGTGCTTTGTTAATTTTTAGAGAATTTTTTGCAGCTTCGAGTTCATCATAGTCTAGTCCATTGAATTTTAGTTCGCTTTGTTGATTTGTAAGATAGGTTTCAAAATAGGTATTTGGGCATTGAATTTTGGACGCCATGTTAGGGCCGATGTTTGCAAAGAAACTGTTGAAATGTTCGGCTATAGAACTTTTATCGTTGTATTCTTTTTCATCCACAACAATTCTATCAGGTAAGGTATTTGTTTTGGTATTTTTTTTCCCGATTATTTCTTTCATGATGTTCCATGATTTTTTAATATCGCCATTGGTATTTTGAAGTAGTTTTGAGTAGTATATTTTTTTAGAGTTTTTCCTTATTTTTTCAAAGAGATTTTTGTATTGCTTGTAGATAGATAAGTTGACTTCATTTCTGTTTTTTAAATATTTTATGCAGAGTTTTTGTTTTGTTTTAGAGGATTTTTTAATTCCACTAGTAATCCATGGACAGTTCAAATATTTTTCTTTAACTATTTTTTCTTCGATCGGGAAATAACTATTATAATGATTAAAAAAAATTTCGATAAATGTATTATATGCGGAGTTTGTGTCCTCAAGGTTGCATTTTTTATATACTTCATCCCAATTCACTATTGATAGTGTGTCTTTAAATTTTTGAATAGAAATTTTATTAGTTTTTCTTATATAAATTTTGGTTTTAGAATTGTTGTTTATTCTTGTATCTTGATTTATAGAAAAGTAAATTGGGAAGTGATCCGAAATATCGGTTTTAACTATACCTGTTTTTAAAGAGGAATCTTGAAATGCATTTGTCAAGATGTTATCTATTGCGGAAATTGAATTCGGGGTTATTCGCGTAGGTTTGTTGATAATCGGAAAGATACAATGTTGAAACATGTTGTCAAAAAAAAGTTTGGTGGTCGCATTCTTTTTGTATTTAAAACAATCTATATTTAAATCACCTATGCAGAATAGTTTTTTTTGTTCTCTATTAATTTTAAGAAAGATATCTTCCAAGTAGCTTGAAAAATTTTTTATATCTCCTTCAGGTGGTCTATAGCAGGTAGAAACTAAGATATTTTTAGTTTTGGAGTTAGTGATTTCTATTGTAAGTACCTCACAACTGGAATCAGAAATCGAAAGGTCTTTTCTTGCTTTTATTGCTTGGTCATTCCGAATATATGTTGCAATCCCTCCCCCCCTTTTGTCTGCTTTCCTTTCAGAAGATAATAATTTATAATATGGAATTTGAAAGTTAGAATTTTTTTGAATTGATTCATCAGAGCACCAAGTTTCTGTCAGACAAATCATACTGAATGAGTAATTGCAATCGGTTAAGAAATGTTTTAATTTATCAAAATTTTTATTTATACTTCTTATATTTATGTGTATTGCCGTAAAGTTATTTTTAAAAGTTTGGAGTTCAGTTTTAAAATTTTTAATGTTGAAATAAGGCGAATCAAAGTTATTAACTTGAAAGATTTGCGTATCAACGTCACAAAAATCATTGAGTATGTTATTTGCGGTTTCGAAGACATTAAAACGCAGCGATTCAAAATCTATTGTTTTGTAAGTCATTAAGTTAAGAAGCAAAAATTAAATACGCGTTCGTTTAAAAAAGAGTTTAAGTAAAAGAGAACGCGGCGCTACTTTTTGAAATCTCGACTAAATATTTTATCGTATTTTAAAATAGCGTATTTACCTTCGCTGCGTAGTTTTTTTACTTCTTCCCAAAGCTTTCTTCGGAGTTCAGTTGTTTCTGGAGCGAAGTCTTCATTAACGTATAGGCCGGTTCCTTTAAGGTGCTTTACTGCGTTGAGAATTTTGTTTTTGTCCTGAAAATTTAAGAGTTTTAAGACTATTGTTCTTGGTTTGTTATGCTTGTGTTGACCGATACGATGAGCTCGTTCAATCACCACTTCACTTGTTATTTTAAGTTGTTTTTTAATCATTACTTTTACTGCTTTTTCGCAATCATCCCAATTCTCTCCTGGTGTGATAATTTTTCTGATATTTTATCTTCTTGAAAATTAAGGCTGTCTTTAATGTCATTGATATCTTTTTCAAAATTCGATATTTTCCTTTTATTGTTGTTATTGTCTTTTTCTATAACGTCTAACCTATCGGTTATAATTTTAAGGTTTGCACTCATTATTGAGGTGAAAGTTTTTTCCTGCTCCTTTAGCAAACGTTCTGTTTCTTTAAGTATGCTTTTTTTATGTTCTTCAAGTTTTGATGAAATCATTTTTTCAATGCTCTTCATTGTTATTTCCATTTTTAACATAAAGTTAGAACTTTTTACGCTGCGACTAAAAAACACGTCCGCATACCACGCCGCTTTCCACTTTTGTATTTGTTTGAGATACAAATCCTCTTGTTTACTTGAGAGTGATCAAAATAATGTAAAAGCAAATTTTACAAAATAGATCAATCTTATCTGTATTATTATATTACTTGTTATTAGATAAACTATATTATATTTACAGTCGACTCTCGATATTTCGAATACTTGATATCTCGAACTTTTGAGTATCTCGAACTTTTTTAGCGGTCCCATGGAAATAACGTACTAGTTTAGGCTAAAATCCTCTCGATACCTCGAACCTTAATATCTCGAACTTTTTGGTATCTCGAACAATATTTTCGGTCCACAGGGTAATTTTCTCTCGTTATCTCGAACTTTTCAACATTTTTTTTTTCAAAAATGTTTTAATAAAATTTAAATGTTTTAATAAAATTTAACATTTGATTGTTGGTTTCATAATTGGAAAGAAAGGTCAGTTAAATTTTGTCAAATCTTGTTCAATTTTAATATAAACAAATAACATGTAACTGTTTATATTTAATTTATTTAGTTTTTTAAACGTGTAATTAAAATTCAATTATTCTGTTCCTATTTTTAGGAGCGGCATCAGCTTTAAAATAATCTCAGGCGAAAGTGCCGCTGTGACGAATAATATGACTGCTTCGTGGAATGAAACTACACTTCTAACATTGCTTTTGAATTACAAACTTGAAAACATTTTTAATGCCGATGAGTTTGGACTATTTTACCAGTGCCAACCAAACAAAACTTACCATTTATCACGAGAAAAATGTTTTGGGGGAAAAAATAGTAAAGCCAGACTAACAGGCATAGCAGCAGGGAGTGCAACGGGAGAAAAATTACCTATGTTTGTTATTGGAAAATCTAAAAACCCACGGTGTTTTAAGCACATTAAACAACTTTCTTGCACATATAAAAATCAGCTAAAAAGTTGGATGACCAGAGACCTTTTTACAGAATGGGTAATAATACTTGACTTATTTTTTCGTGCTCAAGACAGGAAAATAGCACTCCTGGTGGATAACTGTTCTGCCCACCCACACATTGAAGGGCTAAGCAACATCAACCTAATATTTTTTCCCCTTAATACCACATCTGTCCTTCAGCCCATGGATCAAGACGTAATACGAAGTCTTAAAGCTCATTATCGTCACAAAATTGTGCGTTTGTGTATCAAAGCTGTCGATAATGACGAACCCATGCCAAAAATTATACTTCAAGCAATGAAAGATCTTGTTTCTTCATGGAATGCTGTGTCGAAGGAGACCGTCATCAACTGCTTTAAAAAAGCTGGTATCAGCAAAACAAACAAGAGTATTCAAGAAGCTGATGATGATCATCCTTTTAAATTTTTGACAGAAGAACTTAACCGTTTGCGAGAGTTAGATCCTCGTGCCGTCCAAGAAGATCTCTCAGCGGAATCTTACATTGATTTAGATTGCGATGTAGTAACCACCGGTTCACTTGCTACTGATGCTGAAATCATTGCGCAGATTTTAGACTCTAATTTTGAAAACGACGACAATGAAGTTGAAGATAGCGTTGACGAAGCTATTGACGTCGAAGCCCCGCCACGCCCATCTGATATTCAATTAGAAATTGCTTTTAAAACGATTCAAAATGCTTCGCTATGCAGCTCAAAATATGGAAATGAAATAAATCCCTAGCACTAAAACTTGAGGATTTAATGAAGATGGAAAAGATGGATAATTTAAAGCAATATCAGATAACAGATTTTTTCCAAAAGTTGTAGTTTTTGTTGTTAATGATTTTTGTCAGAAAAATAACTTGTTTCAATGAAAGTCGGGCAATTTTATTCATTTTCAACCCTTTTCTTGATATTTCGAACTCTCGATATCTCGAACTTTTTTTCCAGTCCCCTTAGTGTTCGAGATATCGAGAGTCGACTGTACTATATTTTTTAAAATACTATATTTAATTTACTTTAAACTATATTATTATAGTATATTGTTATAGTATATTATTATAGTATATTATTATAGTATATTATTATACTATACTATTATACTATATTATTTAATCTAGAATTATTTGTATATAGCTATATTATTATCTATAACTATATTTATTATCTATAACTATATTATTATATATATATTATTTATTCTGATTTATCTGTATATTATTTTCATATATGTTAATCGTAGTTAGTTGATATATTTTTTATTATTTTATAAATAACTTATAAAGTTTTATAAAATTTTATCTAGTTTTGATATATAAATATATCTTAACAGTTACTTATTTTTAATTATTATTGTTATATCTTTTTTCTTCTTTTTTTTTTCTTCTTCTTCTTAGCATCTTTTGTTTATTCTATTTTACTTTTTAATGATGGTAGTGAAACAACCATGCGGCATATGCTTTAAGGCGGTTGCTAAAAATCATTCAGCAATTCAATGTGACCTATGTGACAAATGGATACACATAAAATGCAATCGAATTGACAAACCAACATATAAAAAAGTCAAAACTTTAAATACTTGGTATTGCCTAATCTGTACAAAATTATTTTTTCCATTCTCTAACATTTCGGATCTTGAGTTATCGACCATACTTGCAGGAAAGTCACTGAAATTCAACGGAGTAAAAAATCTATATGAAAATACAAATTTAAAAAAACTTTTTGGGGACCTCAATGACTTATCTTGCACTTCAATTAACTGTGAATATGTAGATGTTCCTATGTACAATAAAATGTCTCAAAATTCTTTGTGCTATTTCCATATAAACATATCTTCATTACCTTACCATATTGACGACTTTAAAATACTATTAGCGTCTTTTGATAATTTACCTGATATCATTATGATTACTTAATCTAACTTGTATGATAACGATCTCTCTATAACTAACGTTGAATTAGAAGGATATGTAACTGTTCACACGCCAACTAAAGCTAAAAAAGGTGGTGTTTTAATGTATATTAAGTCTAACTTAAATTTTAAAATTAGATCTGAATTAGTCCTGCTTAAAAGTAAGGAACTCGAATCTATATTTATTAAAGTTATAAATTTAAGAATAAGCAGTCTAATAGTGGGTTGTTTATATCGCCATCGATATCGATATCGCCATCGATATCAATATCGCCATCGATATCGATATCGCCATCAATGTGTCCAACTGAATTCGTTGATTACTACTTAAATCAACTTCTTGAGAAAACTAACAAAAAAAAGTTTATGCTAATGGGAGATTTTTAATTTGACTTGCTCAAATACAATACATCCAATGAGGTATCTTATTTTTTAAAATCAATACTCAAATTCTCTTTTTTCTTTTATTATACAGCCTACACGCATAACCACCCATTCTAAGACAATAATTAATAATATTTTTTTAAATTTTTATTCTTCTGAAATAATTTCAGGCAACCTTACCGATTCAATATCTGATCATCTTGTTCAGTTTATGCTAATTCCACATACCAAAACTCAAACTTCATCTGAATCTAATGTTGAGCAATGCTTTAAAAATTTTTAAAAAGCTAAATTTATCCAAGAAATTTCATATGTTGAATGGGATAACCATATAAAAGACGACAGTGATGTTAACGATTCTATTAAAAAATTAATTGAAATATTTGATCATATCTCAAACAAACATGCTCCTTATAAAAAGATAACAAAAAATCAAGTAGTTTAACGTAATCAACCTTGTGTAACGAAAGGCATTTTCAAGTCAATACTAGTTGAAAATAAACTTCATAAAATATATTTAAAATCAAAAAACTGTAGAATAAAAAATATATATTTAAAAAAATTTAAACACTATCATAATAGTATAAGCAATCTTCTAAAGTTTAGCAAAAAGAAATATTACACAAACTTTTTTAGCCACAACATCAATAGCATAAAAAACACCTGGAAAGGTATAAAAGAGTTGATAAATGTTAAAATAAATAATAGTAATTCCCTAACAAGTATACTCATTAACAACAAATGCGAAACCAATCTCAAAAAAATGTCAAACCATTTTAATAACTTCTTTACCACGATTGCTTCAAAATTATCCTACGAAATTCCAAATTCTAAATTCAATTATCATGAGTATCTGACCAATCTTACTAACAACTATTTTTATATGGAACCAATAAAGAAAGAGGAAACTCTTGATTATATAAATTCCACTATTGTAGAAGGGAGT